TTAATGAACTCAGGTGAGTATCTCAAAATACCTTTCTCACCACTAAGCACATTATTCTTCAAACCATTGAATAAACCCAATGTTTTATTTGCATATACTTACATCTCAGTCATCTTTATTTGTGCATGTTTTTATTCTGAGAACAGTCATTGCTTTCTCCTGAAAGTTTTGCTCTTTTTTTAAATGTTGGGATTTATAACACTATTTAAACATGGAATAGCAATATTTGGTTTATGTGTGTGTGTGTTTTAGCCAATTGAAACAATTTAAATATAAAAATGAGCCCCTTCCACTGTCATGCAGATACATAATATATGTATATTATATTGATTAATACATTGCATCCCGTGGTTTCTGTACTCTCACATACTCTCACGTGCCAAAAGATCTTAATGAAGGAAATATTTCATGAAAAATAATAAAACATATATTGCATCTGAGTTACAAGACTCTTTAAAATTATCTTCTACATTTGGTAACTGATGTAAAAACATGAAACATGATTTTCAATTTTAAAGAAAAATTGTTTTTCTTTTTTATATATAAAAGAGATTGAGACCAAAGAGGATACAATACATTTTTAATTTTTTACAATCTTTTGTGATGCATCCCAGAAGGCCCCTTTCATCTGTTGGTTTCTTAAAATATAATAAAAGAATTTAGTAAAGGGGCAAATGAAGAATCCAGCAATACTATTCTTTTGGGTACAGTCACTCTTGAAGATGGTTTTATGCATTTAAAAACTACAATATAGGGGCTGGGGATTTAGCTCAGCAGCATAAGCACCTGCCTTGCAAGCAGGCAGTCATAAGTTCGATCCCCGGTACCGATAAAAAGGAAAAAGACAAAAAAAAAAAAAAAAAAAAACTACAATATGTCATAATGACAGCAATATTGCCTTTGCTGTGCAGAAGGTAGTTTTAGAATAATCTAATGATCCAACTGTTAGAGAGAATCACTAATACCATTGTAACTGGGTTACCATTGCCAAGACACAAGACATAATTTCAAGAAAAAATTGTTTCTGTGCAAGAGATCTGCAGGATAGAAATTTCACACATAAAAAAATCAGTTGTGTTGGAAGAACAGAAATGTATCTTGAGTCTTATGTCCAAAGCAACAAAGATGATAAAGAATCCAGTTTCCCAGAAGCTGAGCAGCATTAGTAGTGCACTTTGCAGTTCACAATGATTGGGTGATGCAGTGTTTGCAAATGATCGCATGGCTGTCTTAGGATATAGCAACCAGGACACAAAACTCCATAACTCCCAGTAAAATGACTAAAATAATTGAGCTGCATAACTGTTATAAGAAGTAATTTGGCCTCCAGTCACAATGGCTACCAGGAATTTGGGAATGCATATTGCTGTAGTTATGATTTTCAAAAGGAGAAATTTGAAAGAAGACATATATTGAAGTCTTTAGATGAGAATTAGTAGAACGAGGAAGAAAATGATCAAGTTCCCTATTGGACTCAGTGTACAGTTTAGAAATAGAAATAGAAAAAAAAAACGAGTTGTAACTGTGGGTCATCTGTTAACCCTAAAAGAATGAGCATTATATAAATTTACAAATATGACAAAATAAAACCAACTACTGGTATAATTAACATGTGCTTATAAAAATGTTTAAAGATGAGGATATGTTATGAAAAGAAGTTACAGAAGTGATTAACATATATGAATATATCCTACTGACAATGCACTAAAGAAAACAGAAAATGAACATTTAATAGGCGTTTCATTGCCAATAAATATAGATATTAGAATATTCCATCTCTTTTATTTGAAAAATACAGAATTATTACAATATATGCTAAGGATTTATTATACATTAACTACCCAGCTAAGCAATTTCATGTTACTTCATTAAACACTTAAAATATCCTTTGAATAAATACTATTAGCCTTTTCATTTTATGGATAGACAAATTAATACTGAGAAATTTCAGGTGTATTTGTAAGTTCACAAAGAAATTAGATGTCAGATTTAGTCACTATAACCCGGTGTTTACAATACTTTATCACAAGAAGAATTGGAATATCATTTTTGTCTTACAGCTTGAACATTTTTAATGAAATTATAATAGTGTTCTTTAGGATGCAATGCAAAGGATTCACTCTTATCAGTAAGAGGGAAATGGTGATCTATTAAAATGTAACTCCTACACATGTAATCTACATACATATATAAATATATATGCAAATAAATGTACAAGAATGTGTTATAGCATTATAATTCAGTACATTTGTTGGTTGAAACATAATTTCTGTAGTGCTAATGTTACAAAATTTGAGTTCTGCCTCAACAAGTTGACATGCAGAGATATCCATTATATATAATTAATTGAAAAAACAAACAGGAAAGTTGCAAAATATTTTGTGTAGTCCAGTTTCAATCGTGTACAAAGAAACATTATTTCTAATTGTGTGAATATCATTGTGGATGAACGCACAGAAACAAGTACCTTATAGAACTACCAAACGTATTTTATATTGAGTAACTTGAAAATCTGAGTGAAAATGGAAGCCAAGAAAGAAATGTCAGGGTTACTCCATAAAACATTCTGTACTGTGACACTGAAATTTCATTACTGTATTAATTTTAAAATTTAAAAAGTAAGGTTTAAATTATTCTTATTCTTAGTTTAATTTTGTTTTTTGTTTTGTTTCATCTTGTTTCTGGCTTGATTTGGTTTGTTTTGGTTTGGTTTGTTTGAACTTAGCTTGGCTTGGTTTGGTTTTTAGTTCTGGAAACTGAACTAGGGTCTAAACACTGAGCTACATCAAAAGCTCTTATTAATTTTAATTGTCTTTCTAACTGTGAGACAGTGTTTCACTAAACTGGAAGTTTCCCAGGTTCAGTTCACACTCATAATATCTGCTTTTCAATCTCCCAGTCTGGAATTACAAGTCCAGGGTTCAAGCCACTTTGCCCAGCTTACTCTTCTGCTGAGAAGACATTAATTCTGTTTTAGTCATTCATTCTGCTCTGTGCTGCAGAGATGTATAAATGAATAAAATGTAGGTATTACCTTGGAAAATGGTCCTCTGTGGGGTAGATTAGTCTGGTATTTAGCCAACACTTCTCCACAAGGAATTGAAAATAAAGCATCTCCTGAGTATAGACAGAGTCCAGATGTATATTAGGAAAATTAAGTACAGCCAAGGGGAAACCTGGTTGGTTTTATCTGCCTATTGTTACAATGTTATACTTTTACTTTTACCTTACTAGACAGCCTGGTTTTCCAGAAAGATACATCATGACCTTACTATATCTCTTGAGTTTATCACTGCTTTTAGTTTTCCTTTCTTCAAACTAGTGTTGTAGAGATTTACACCAGAAGGTAAAGTTGTGATATCTTTCTATATTATTCAATTCTTTACCTTATTTAAATAGCTTAGAGAAATTTTACCTTACAGTAAGTTAAAGTAGTATACTTGGAAAATTAGCTTACAGAATCCTAAAGGTTGATAATAGTAAGCTTTGAATTTCAGATCAAAGAAACAATTTTTTTGGAAAGATAAAATATAGACAAACAGACTTATTTTTCCACAAAGACAAGCCTGCTAGAAATCTTAATTCATAATGTATTTTTCCATGCATGGGACTATTTTATAAAAAAACAAAAGGCAGGCAAAGTTTCCCAAAGAATTTCATGTTTCATAGAACTCAAGAAAATTTGGGATTACTTGATTGATATCATTAAGACATACCAAAAATGTTTCCACATTAATAAGTAAATATATTTTTGCCCTTTAACTGAAAAATTTTTAGAAAAAGCTGCAAGGATATACTAATTACTATGCTAGTATTCGATTACTACTAATTTTATATTTTAATATATTTTGACAATGGTTCAAACAATTGTCTTCTATTAATCTGCCAGTTTTTGAGATATATTGTCAAACATATTTACATTTCTAAAGAAATGCTGATTTAAAAAAATAAGCAAAGAGAAAAAACACAGTATCTGATTTAATATTTATTACCTACTGAATTGTCCAGTTCACTCCATAGGAAGTAATGCTAGAATGCAACTGAAAGTTTGTACCATGAACATAATGCTGAAAGGTAAGGTCTAAAAGAGAACAAGAGAGATAATGACATATAGGTTAAGTTTTACAGCTTTATGGTTTCAGTAAAGTAAATCTTACAGAATATTTTTTTATTCTGATGAGTGTTTAGGAAAATAGTTAATATACTTGGGATTCAAAAAACTCCTTTATGAATTCTTTCTTGTCTTTAGAGAAACATGTAGTTAAAATACAAATTAAACATAACAAAGAAAAGTCAGATGTTAAGTAATGCACATAAAATAACAAAAATGAAGGTTTAAAAACTCTACTTATGAACTCTGGTTCTGTGAATTTTAAAGAATTTTTCTGACCTAATATAATATAAATTTATGTTTTTCATTTTATAATCAAGTCTACTTCAGTTCCATACTTCTGGAGTAGCAGTGGAACTTATTTTCATGATCATACAAAATACATGTAAAAATAATAAAAATATTGATAACTATTATTAACCATAGTATTTGTGATTAGGTCACTGATTTCCACAAATAGATTTTGTAATTTTTTGAATAACATCAGAATTAAAACTAAAAATTAGATAAAGTACTTCATTCCTAAAATAATACAATCTTAGAAACCAAGAGATCAATATGCAAATTGCAGATGTAGTTAATAAATACTGTTGTAGAAATTGCTAATCCAAAGGTATATTTCATGTATAAAGAATGTGACTGTATATAAGTCTGATGTTTAGTTACTGATGAGGGGACTTTGGACATAGATCTGTGAATAAAAGATTCTTCTTCAATTTATGTATTCATATGTTCTGTTCTAAATAGAATGAATGAATATCACTAAGTTTTTTTACAAGGAAAAATGTCCATTGCTTCATTTTATTGGTGATAGTTCATATAATATATTCAATTCTTTCATGTTCAACTTTTTTCTTTTCTTTCTTTTTGCAGCAATAGATAGTTTTTGAAAGAAAAATTGAGTATGAGAAACCACACAATGATTACACAGTTTGTTCTCTTGGGTATATCGGACAGTCCAGAAACTGAGGCTGTAATTTTTATCTTTTTATTTATAACTTATATATTAAGTATCACTGGAAACCTCACCATCATTATTCTCACCTTGTTAGACCCACATTTGAAGACTCCCATGTACTTCTTTCTCCAAAACTTCTCCTTCTTGGAAATTACATTCACCAGTGTTTCCATTCCAAGATTTTTGTGTTCAATAATTACTAAAGTCAAGACCATTTCCTATAATAACTGTTTGACTCAATTATTTTTCTTCATCTCCTTGGGTGTGTCTGAATTTTTTCTTTTGACAGCTATGTCCTATGATCGCTATGTGGCCATCTGCAAGCCTCTGCACTACACCACCATCATGAATAAGAAAATCTGTAACCTGCTGGTCTTCATGTCTTGTCTGGCAGGATTTCTGACCATTTTCCCACTACTTATGCTTATTCTCAAGTTGGATTTCTGTGCTTCCAATGTCATTGATCACTTCTCTTGTGACTACTTCCCCATCTTACAACTCTCATGCTCAGATACATGGTTTTTAGAGACAATTGGTTTTTACTTTGCCTTTGTTACTCTGTTTGTCACATTGGCATTGGTGATTCTTTCCTACATATGCATCATTAGCACCATTCTGAGAATTCCGTCTGCCAGTCAGAGGAAAAAGGCTTTTTCTACTTGTTCATCTCACATGATTGTCATCTCCATCTCTTATGGAAGCTGCATCTTTATATATGTTAAGCCCTCAGCAAATGAAAGAGCATCATTGACCAAAGGAGTAGCTATTCTCAATACTTCAGTTGCTCCAATGCTAAATCCTTTTATTTACACCTTGAGGAATCAGCAAGTAAAACAAGCTTTCAAAAATTTAGTTTATAACATAGTGTTTTACAGAAACAAATGAAGGTCATTATTAACAAAGTGATTTTCTTTAAGTAAATGATGGAATAAAGGAACTAAACTTTGCACCACTCTCTGATATCCTTCTCAACTCTGTGCGTTGCTGAGATCACTGACTTCAGCTTTCTTTCTAATTTGCAAGTGACTGTGAAATGTCTTCCTTTAAAAATCAAAAATATCTGTAGGAAACACGTAATAATTCATTTTAAATTATGTATCAATAATCAGTAGGAATGAATCATTTTGCCTTTTTTTTTTTTTTTGGTCTTTTTTGAGATGGGGTCTCGCTATGCAGTTCAGGCCGGCCTTGAGCTCACTTTGTAGCCCAGGCTGGACTCGAACTTGCAAGGATCTTCCTACCTCAGCCTCCCGAGTGCTGGGATTACAGGCATGAGCCACCACGCTCGGCTCTGTGTGGTACCAGGGACATTCTGCCATTATTAATATTAAAATAATATTTTACCGTAGTGATCTACAGGAATAAGCATCATTTTAATAAGCTGACTCAAATTTTCTATTTTCTTTTACAATTTTCTTTTTAAACATATAAAATACAAAGTATATTAATTACCTGTAACATACATTGCTTACACAATATCTGCATGGAAGCATTTCTGTCCAGTTCTTCACAGTCATTTGATTAAATTAGGTATCTTTTCTACTTGAAAGCAATTTGACATTTACAATATTTTCTATTACCTGGCTATGTTGAAAGCACATTTTATAACTATTTTCCTATAACATATATAAGTATATGTACTTATTTTTGAAATTTTTTAAAAATATGAACACTAAAATTTATAAAAAGATGAATACCAATACTTCATACAACTTAGAAACTGTATACAATTTTCCTACATAATAATAGTTCTTCGAGGAAATGCTTGTATTCTCTGGCAAGTTTGTATCAGGTATATTTATAGTTATAGGCCAAAATAAACATGGTTATACTATTCATGAATAGGCAAATTTATGCTCAGAAAAACTGTATAAACTCACTAAGGGCATAGAATAAAACTAATCAATATGATAGTTTCATTTTGAAAGAAAACAAATTATAGTCTTGCTTCATGTATATTTTGGTAGCTTTTACTAAGGATGCATAAAACATTTTATTGGCTTTTCTCAGTTACATTACCTCTTGACGGGTATTTGGCATATAAATTTTAACATTAATCAAAACAAGAAAAGTCTCATTTACCATTGCTGTTAGAGTATTCTTCAATAGAGTGAATAGTACAAAACTGTAAAATTTTGGTACAATAATAAAAATTCTTAATGGAAGGATAATTAAATAATAAATAATGACTGTGCTTAGTATAATATATTTTGGTTTTGGTTTTTTTTTTTGTTTTTGTTTTTTTTTTTGGACTGGGGCTCGAATTTATGACCTTGAGCTTTCCAGGAAGGCATTTGTGCTGCTGAGCTTAATCCCCAGCCCTACTTAGTATAATTTAAAAGAGTCTCAGTCTCAAAATATCATTGGGTACTGGGTATAAATTCCGATTAGGAGTTAGGTTTCTGAATTTGGTTGACATAGAAGATAGAAATCTTCCCCAAAAAACGATGCCATGGGAGATAGAAACCTTCACAAGTAATATTGATTGTTATGACTTTTTTGTCTTATTGCATTTGTCCCTCAAGATGCCCTTCCTAATTCTCCACTAATGTGTATAATAATTTGTTTCCCTCTGTGTTTTGTGCATGTTCCTCTTGTGGCAATTTTGGTTCACTGAATGAATCTCTTTATCTGGTAGAAGACAAAATCAGTAAAATTTTAAGTAGCTCAGATTACATTAAAATCTATGTAAAAATGATGCCAAGAATTTCAAATACCTTGTGGTATTATTTCTGCTTTATGTCTTTGCTCTTTCCTCATTCTATATTCACATTGAATTTCTAAGCAGTTAACTCATCAGTTCGTCTAGTTTCTGAAAATCAACTCTGGATAAAACGGGAAAAGTAAGACAATATCTTTGATGGTACAAAACAAACGACAAGAGCGGAAGAGAAGTGAAATGTTTTTAGAAATGCTGGATTCCTTTGAGTACAATGACATTGACTAATATTTTTACTATATCGGTCATTCTTAGGGAAAATGAAACTATAAGGGAAAGCAGAGTAAGTAAGACATACAAAAAACAGTGGAAAACTGTTAAATTTCCCTGTTGTTACAATATTAACTCTTCAACTTTTGAGCACATTAAATAGAATGTATTGTGATTTTGGATGTTTGACGTATGAAATGATGAGATGGTTACTGTCTTCTCTTTCATTGTGTCATTAGTTTCGGCTGATTAAGAACCAGAAAGCCCTGTATCTATATCCGTGTCTCTATACTTTTAATCAAATACAGGTTATGTAGTACTGTATGTAAGAGAAACTTTAATTTTTGGAGGCCTGAGACTATGTTTTATATTTGCTAGCTGTATAAATGAATAAAAGTTATGTAATTCTTGGAAGTTTCAGTGATTCATTTGGAAATAGGATAAAACTTTCTTAAATGTGTTTAAAGAGCTGGGGCAATATACAAAAGGTTTCACACTAGAACACATAGTACCTTTAAATAAAACACAAATTATAAACATCTTTCTCTGCGTTGAGAAATAATTTCAAGTAAAAGAAAAATAATTTGTTACAGCTATGCTTAGAGCTTAAGTACCACGTCATTTTGGGAGTGCATTACTTCATCTAATTTAATTTAATTCTCATGAACACTCTTTACATTTCAGAGGTATTGCAAACATACTGAAGCTAAATAAACTAAGTTGTCTGAAGTCACAAATTTATTACAAGATCAATTTGTATTTTAAATCTATGTCTCTTGGGGGCTGGGGATTTAGCTCAATGGTATAAGCACCTGTCTGGCAAGCCGGCATTCGTGAGTTATAAAAACTCTTAGAGATATGTTATTATAAATAAAATTTTATTATAAATAAAATTATGGTTAAATATGATTTCACATGCCTCTGTTTTCCCTTGCCTTGTTTATATACGCTGGAGTGAATGCTGAGGATGAAACTGCACAACAAATTAATAATACTAAATATTCATTTCTTTCCAAGTAGTGTCATGTAAAATAATAGAAAAACACAATTAAGAGGTATTTCAGTAAAAGTACTATGCTAGCCCCTCCATGGAGTCTCCTGAGGAGTCCTTACTTCACACAGGCTGACAAAGAATCTTTGCGTTGTGGCCCATGAGCCAAAAGTGCCAGAATTGTATTTGAGTGTAACTGTGAAACTTGGATAGATTGCACTACATTGCACTAAAATTTCTTTTTCTAATGTATTATTTCAAAGACAAAAAAGCTCTTTGTATTCATAAGGAAAAAAATGTGATATCCATGAAGTTCATTTTTCAGGTGTATTTTATGAAATTTTTCGGATCTCCTCTTATGAAGCTTAATAGAAGAATTGAATAAATGTTGAGAAAGTGGAAATCATAATTTCAAGGTTGTTAAATTACTGGAAACATTCACAAGATACACATACATGCACACATTACATCCCAGAAGTAAAGATGGAAGCAAATTCTGTCATCAGTCTTTCAAAGGAACAATCTTTCATCCCATAAACTTAATATGTCTTTTAAGGTACCTTCCCTTTTTCACACTGAACAAACCATATCTTAGCTAGTTTACTTGGCAGGTCTGTGATAATACTTAGATAATTGGGGGGGGGGGTCTGAGAAAAGCCACATGGGATGTTTCAGAATGAAAGCCGTAAAAATGTTTTTAAGCATTTTATTTAATAAATACTAAATGGTTATTTTTGTGTAGCTGAATCTGTCTCATTGGAAGTAAAAAATGAAGTAACTCTGATAAAATGAGTGGGAAGAAGTGAAAACTTAATAACCTAAGCCATGTTCTTCCAGAGAAAATATGGTCCTACATTCAGAAATTGGATGAAATGATGAGTTAATTGCTTAGAAATGTCATTCATCTTGTACCCAAGTACATCCTTGAGATAGTTTAAGGCTTTTGGAATCATGAATTTTTTAAATATTAAAATTTAATTCCTCTCAAGAGCTATAAATGCTCATAAATTTTATTCATCTTATTTCATGTCAGAACATGAATATGGTCCCCTGAACTTTTTTAATTGTTTTACATAAAACCTTAGTATAACACACTCCCCCATATTTTGCATCTGTTCATATTGGATCGCCAACTACTAGAGTGTCATCAAGTCTCTTTCCCTGTCCTTTAAAGACTGGTTTTTGAAGTGCTTGCATTTTGTGATGATCTCATGAACTTTTTTCAATATATATATATATTTTTTGTAGAACTTGGGATTGAACCCAGGACCTTCTCACTGAGCTGCATCCTCAGCCTGCATTTTCTCTTTTTCTTTTTTCTTTCTTTCTTTCTTTCTTTCTTTTCTTTTCTTTCTTTCCTTCTTTCTTTCTTTCTTTTAAAATTTTTGACAAGGTCTCACTTGGTTGCCCTTATTGGCTTTAAACTAATGATACTCTCACTATTGTATCTCAGAATATTGAGAATAAAGCTTGTTCCATCACGCATACTCAAAACCCATATACCATCCCTCAGAGTTCTTGCTATATTCCTTCACAGTTCTAATTAGTGACAAAAAAGAGTGAGTCATAGGATTACTTTTTAAAATGTTAAAATTTGTCAAAAAATTCAGAATAAAAGCATTTAATAAATTTCAAAATGGTTCAATACAATTCTTTCATGCATTTTCAATATGAGAAAAATAGAAATATACATATTTCAAAATATGAGTCTCTATTGTCAGGAAGTTTTTGCAGGACTTTCAGTCTCGAAATTAAATCTTGCCTCTTTAGTGTGAAGGTACTTTTTACTGCAAAATGTTACCAAATTCTGGGGTTCTGTAGGCTTTTTTTTTTAGATACATGATATCTTGCACAAAGTATTTGACAAGACACTAAAATGGTAGTAAGGCTTTACACTTATTAAAGACAGGAAAACAAATATACTCTGTAAAGTAACATCAGGCTCCTGAGAGAGCTCACAATGGC